ATGCTTTTATTACACACATATATGGATGCAGGTGTGCACACACACACACCTGCCGCCGTCCTATATGCTCCTGCTCCTGTAATTACACCCACAGAGGCCCAGAGGATCTCAGAGCTCCTGTTCTATAGCCTGCATTATGGCCCTGCTTGGGAATCCCTCCTGGGCTGCAGTGCTGTTGGGTAGATTGACCATGGCATATATGTGTGCGTTTTTGTAGAGATCCACAGGGATTATCATTGGATGTGGTCTTTAGCTTTTTAGAGTATAGTAAATGTAATCTGTATTAATGGCCTGCTGTGAGAAGACCCAGCGCTCACCTTTTCACTACAGGGTGTGTAGCAACAGCTGTTCCTGGGACTTTCACGCAACCCGCTCTCCACCTCAGAGAAGCTCCTCCCACAATACTTGCAGCAAAAGTGCCAAATCATCTTTACCAGTTGTTTGAACCTCAGTCAGAAGTGTATTCATTTATGAATAAACATACAATTTAAGTTTTCCAAACTTGTAGGCTGTTCTAATACAATATATTCTTTAAATTTGATGATAAGGTAAAAGATAACAGTACGATCAACATGTCGTTCAAAACCTGCTTGACTTTCTGTCTTCTATGGAACACAAAAGAAGATATTTTAAATAATGTTTTAACTGTTCTTGTCCGTACAGTGATAGTCAGTGAGGTTCAAAACAAAACTGGAAAACTAGACCCATTGACATTTCTTTATGGACCCACCAAATAAAACAAACAAACAAAAAAACAAGATATATTAATTTCTGTTCTGTAGAAGTTATACAGGTTTAGAACCACATGAGAGTGAGAAAATTATGACAGAAATGTACCATTCATGGCTAAATTAAATTAAATTAAATTAAATTAAATTAAATTAAATTAAATTAAATTAAATTAAATTTAATAATAATAATAATTAATAATTTATTTCAAAGGTCCTCACTGCTTACAACAGCAAAATAACCAAAACCCACAAAGACACTGACCAAGCAAATAAATATAGCAAACAATAGGATAAAAATGACTTAATTATTTCTACGTTTTTGCCACAAAGTTATGTTTAATTATGTACAGAAAGCATATACTCTATTTTTCCCGCTCTCTCTCCCATACAAACGCACACACATATAGTACAGACACACACTCACACACACGGAAACATACACGCGCACTGAAACGTGTTGTCAGCACTCTGATGGTTTTATCAGTAAAATATCTCAGTAACTTCAAAGCTACATGTAATTTCTCACAAGCGAGGTAATACTGCGCTGTTTTTGAAACAGATTAACTTACAGTTTCACTATTAGTAGAGACGCTGCTGCTGAACACTGTTGAGAGATGAACAGACAATAATTCACATCTGCTTAATCTCTCTCTCTCTCTCTCTCTCTCTCTCTCTAATAACTTTCTTAATAACTTCATTATTAACTGCAATAGTCTGCTATCAACGGCTCAAGACTCTGTGCTAGGTCTAAAATGACATTTTGGAATTAGCGATGGAGGTGATGGATGAGATGAATAAGAAATTAATACAAGTCACAAGAGCATTTTATGGCTTTGCATCGTGGCTGCATCACCACCTCGGGCGTGCATTATTTTCTAATAATTCAATGGCCCGTTGTCAATTATTTCTTGCATATCCCATTTTGTGTTAACACAAGTGTTTGAAAAAAGCAGCTTTGTCATGATTACAGCAGAAATGCTTGAAGAAATATTTTAGCGCATGGGGGCCTTTGATTATTGTTTTGAATAATAGGGAAGACCTTCGAGTTAAATACTTGTGGCTTTAAGGTGAACGTTTAGTTCTCAGAACCTTGGAAATTCTACTGGAAATTCACGGAAAGATTATTTTCTCAGCTTTGATGCATTGAATGGACTGTAGGCTACTTCTATTCCTCACAGCCTTGTTTTTGGTCTTGTTGAATTAAATATGCCATTTAACCAATCTTCTACAGCCACAGTGGTCAAATATCATGGATAACGTTTTTTTTTAATCCACGTGTTACAATCTCATCCATTATTTCTTGTATTATTCTCTCTTTTCACTTTCTCTTTGTCAGTTGTATCGTCTGCATCTCTTTTTCTTTCTCTATAAGTCCTCCCCCACCTTCATATTCTCTGTCCTTTCCCCACACTCATATCTCATCATCATTAATTTTAGAGACAGTCAGACTAGCGGGCTGAGGGCACACATGTAGTCATTTATCCTTCTGTTCCCTTTCTGTTCTTTAGTGCATCACTAATCAGCAGATAGGCTCCTGCATTCATCCCCAGAGCTTCATAAAAACCCAGAGCTGCCTGCCAATAAAGTCACACAATGGCCAACTACAAGCCCCAAGGCCAGGGGTCTAACCCTCATCTTACCCCGTATCCTGTCTCACTCTCTCACTCTCTCACTTCTCAATTTTTTATAATTCTCTTACTGGCATTGGTGGATGGATAGTACCATCCTAATGGTTGTGTATTTTACTGTACCACAGCAAGTACATGTATGCTTACAAGTCACTGTGAAATCAGAATTCAGCCTGTTTACAATTTTAACACAGGTTTATTGTCTTGTTGTTCACGATTCTGTGCATGTTATTTCAAAGATTTATTTTTATTATCAATGTTAAAAACAGTCTGATTAAACTGTCATGAAAACATCTGCAGAATGTTGCTCTACCATCTGACAGGGAACATTTTAAACATAAGTAACAGCTGAGCACATATTCTAAATATTTCCATTTGAAAACACACAATCATCATCTCAGCACCACTAACTTATCATGTTCCTTCTCAATATATTTGAGCGTATTGCTGGTTTTCTGTTCCCAGTTTGCACTAGTCAACTATTTATCTAAATGATCATCTTTAAATATTCATGCCCTTTTGAACAGTCCCACACAGAATATTTATAATAATTGGACTCCAGTGAACCTGAGTTGAGAAGTTTAAAGTCAGGGCACAAATCACAAACAAATCTGCCAGTATTCTTAATGATCGTCTGTCATAGGAGACCCATATTTTATTAAACAAAGAAGTTGTGGGATGATTTTTGCTTACATATCGAAGTCTGGCTTAATTGAGTCGCTTGAATAGACCTAAGAGGGTTTTGTGTAGTAAGTATGGTGTTAATTCCTCTAAATATCCTTATTTTACGTCTCATAGTAGATGATTTACGTGCTGTGGCAGTGCCTTTGGGCTCTCACTCATCCAGGTTACTACTGTGACTCTTGAGAAAATCAGGTACCATAAACATTAATGCTGCCCTGGGCTCCAGTCAGGGTCTGACCTCCCTAATACTGATCTAGAATGTGAGATATGTCTCTCAAAAGACCAGAAGTGTGTGTGGATGTGAGAAAGAAATTACAGCATTAGAAATGAGTCACTGGTTTGCTTCAAAATTAACATTCTGTTGTCATTTACTCACTCTCATGTCATTCCAAACCTGTATGGCACATAAATAAGAACTGGAATGAGAAAGTGACTAAATAATGACACAGTTTCATTTTTAAGTGAAGAATTCCTTTAAAATCCATACAAGCGCTTTAAATGTAATTTCATTCCTATCAATTCCATTTGTTTACCGTTTGGGTAAGTGTTTTTATTATGGTGGCTGGGTAATCCTTTATGTTCGGTAGTATTACCATGATAAGTGATCCTGTATTGTAGCAACAGTTACCTGCTCCAAGCACTTCATTGTGTGTAAATGTGTGAGCACACAGACATAAGCCCCTGTCCATCAGGTAGACTGGCGTCATGTCCTTGGCATTGAATGGGAGATGATTATTTTCATGCTGGGTCTCTTGTCATATCTCTCCCTGCTGGGAGTCTTATCAAATGTAAATAGACGCTGCAGTGTGCTTCATGCCCGGGCTCAGCTGTTGTTTTCTTTACACCCTATCGCCCGCCACCCGTCCCCAGCTCAATCCTTCCACCCACAAAACTCTCACTTTTCAGCTCTGCTTAGTTTGAAATATTATAATTAAGATGAGGCTTCTGGGAAAACTAGGACAATCTTGTCTAAATGTCTGCAGGCTATGGGTTTTCTTTTTTTAATCAGTAAAACACATCCAAATACACATTTTCTGCATATTTGTAAATGGCCTGCTATTAACATACTGGTTATTGTGATAAGAACAATGAGCATTTTTTTATTATTTAGATCACTTTGAGGAAATGACAGTTTAAAATCTTTATTTTATTCCACAAACACAGATAAATCTGAAAATAAGAAAATATATTTATATTTTCATACCATTTTATTATTTATTTTTTATTCTATATATAACATCAAATCTAGAAATGTTTTAAAAAATGTTGCTGTCGTTGTTTAACAATAATAATAATGATAATAATAATAATAATATCTTTATATCATTTGATTCTTTATTTTTATTCTATATAAAAAACCTAGAAATGTTTTAAAAATGTATTACTGTCGTTAACAATAACAATAACAACAACAACAACAATAATAATAATAATAATAATGATAATAATAATTTGATATTATTATTAATTTCAGAGATTTATTTATTTTAATTTTTAAAAAATGTATGGAGATATATAGTTGTAAATATACACAACAACAACATTTTATATATTATATTTAAAAATATTTGTTGATAATAGTAATAATAATAATAATAATAATAATAATGCATTTATTGTTGTTGTTTAAACTATTTATTTTAAAACTATTTTTAAATAATCAGCACTATTTTAAAATAATCAGATTTAAATTTTTTATTTTCAAATCACATAGTTTATAGCTTTAAAATATATAGAAGCGATATAAAACATGATTGATTTTGTTAATAATAATAAGAAAGATTATTATTATTGTTGTTTAAAACATTATTTTAAATTTTAAGAAAATCAAATTTAAGAGATTTAGAGATTGAACTCTTATTTTAAACTTTAGAAACCAAACCAAAATCTAAAAAATCAAAACAAGCACCTTTTTTTCCCACTGTAACAGTATTTTGTTGTGGCTTGCTTTCTGTAGGATCCTGGATTTGCTTCCTTTATCATTGACCAGCTGCAAGTGCCTGATTGGTCGCTGAAAGGCGCTCATGAAGGAACGAGGTGTCAGGTGTGTGGCACACCTGCACAGCAGCTAAAACAGCAGGCACTTCAGACTCTCCAAGAACTGTACCTTGCTTCCGACATGCCATCCCTGCCTCCCAACACCTTCCCTGTGCACCCCACCAGGCTGACGACTCACAGCGTGGTCACTCTTTCCTCCAGACCTACCAAATCGAGGATACCTCACCCAGCGCACAGCGTCCTGCCTGTGGGGGAGCGGCAGCGTGAGCTTGGCTGGTCTCAGAGCATGTCTTCCAGCGCTGGGGCACTGAAACCCAGCGTGCAGGTGACCATGGGAGGAAGACCTCTTACGGGAACCATCAGCTCAGTCACCATTCAAGCCCAGCAGTACTTGGAGGGCATGTGGAGCATCTCACGTGTCAATAACTTCTTGCCTCAGCCAAACCCGGTATGCAACCTTCCATTTCTCTCCATCTACGAGATATTTTGTTTATGCATTCATTGGATATAATGGTAATCAGTTGATCTGTTGTAGCAGTTCAAATATACTGTTAGAAACTACTAAAAAAAACCTAATTCTCACTGTGTTTAGAATTTAGAAGGGACCTTGTTTATTCCCTGCAAAGTCTTCATTGTCCACAGCTGGAGCTTTTACAGGGTGTAGGGGTTTAACATAGTTTTTTTTTTTTGGATATAATTTGACATCATTCCAAGTCAAGAGAGCTGCTTTTGCTGCCATCCAATGGTTGAGAGGTATGGAAAAGTTCACTTTGAAGGGCTCTTTGAAGCATTATTATTTACCAGCATAGGCATCAGCTGATGATTGGTCTGGTTATTTGAGCCTACAGCTGTCTGAATGAATCGCAGTTGAAAACACCTGCATAACTGAATCACATGCACTCAGTTATACATAGAGAGCATGTTTGAAACATAATGCACTGAGACAGTGTGTTAACAATTTATGCTGTCTCATTTACACATGTGTACATCTGTAGTTACACATTGTCAGTGCACCTGTTGATTTAGCGGTTTGAGTGAATGATTGTGTATCACTTGGTGTTTTAGTTACTCTCTGCAATAAGGTTTACAATGAGGTTGTATATACAGCCTACCATTCGAAGTTTTGTGGTCAGTAAGATATTTTTTAACTAATTCATTTTTTAAAAGAAATTAATACTTTTATTCAGCAAAGATGCAATAAATTGATTAAAAGTGACAGTAAACTTTTACATTGTCACAAAAAAATCTATTTGAAACAAATTGTTCTTTTTGCATTTCTATTCATCAAAGAATCCTGAGGAATAAAATATAATTTTCCACAAAATGCAAGAAAAAAACACAACCAATTTCGAATGATAAATAAATAAAAAAAATTATTATAAACATTGAAAACAGTAAAAAAATAAATAATTGGAATCATTTTTTTTCACAATATTCAAATAAACAGGGACGTTTAATGACTGTTGACATTATTCTCATAATGGCTGAATATGATTATTCATCTGGCTGATATATTGGTCTCAGCCATATATCTATCGATCACCAGAATGCATGTTTGGCAGATTGATAACTTGAGGAGATAATTTTATTACTCTTGTGTTTTATTGACTGGCTGCCTTACTGCACTGTTACATTCCACAGTGGACTGCTCATGTGTACTAAGTGTACAGCTTCAGTGTGTTAAACTAAACAAAACTCACCAACACAGGTAGTCAGCTTAACTATACCTGTCTGTCTTTCATAGCAGAGTCTTTGTTGCATCAGAGCGGTGTCTAATGGTAACACATATCTTTTGTATCAATTGTTGCTTTTACAATCTTTTGCAGTGGCCTCTGATAGAGCCTTTTTGTTCCTGCTAACTGTTACCTCTATTGAAGACGGGAGATTAATAATAGCCTGTGCATTTCCTATTTGAGTTAATGTCAACAAGTGCTTTTATTCCTGTGAGCGAGCCGCCACTTAAGCTTTTAGCAATCAGTATGTGTTTGTGCACAAAGCAAAAAGCCTTGGATAAAAATAGTTGACCAACTGCTGGCCCAGTACATCTTGAAAAACCAACAGAAGCTGTCTGCTTTACACAAACACACAACTCGCACATGTAAGCTGTGCATGAACAGGAATAGCTCTGAGCTCTATGCTTTTCCCTTGTTCAAAGACATGCCTTGTATAATTTTGGAAAGGCTCCTTGCTTTCATTAGATTGGAGGGATGAAATTAACACATGCAGAGCGCTGGGACTTCAGCAGAGCCTTGAGCAAAGAGCTTTAACTCTGATTTCTGTGGAGAGAAACGACAAGCAGCAGGGGAAAAGAGGAGGAGACAAAGCCATTGAGATGGACTGAGTCTGACAGGAAGCCTTTGGAGGGGCCTTGTGTTTTGTGAAGTAGATTTTTGTGCCTGTGCTACTTGGTAAAGGCACATCACTTCTTTTGAAGCAGGTGAGAGTTCCTGGAAAGCAAGAAGGGATACATCAAATGGCAAGAAGCACTTTGATGCAAAGTTCAGGAGATTCAGTATCAACACAAGATGAAGAAGTTGACAGCTGTCAAGTTTAGATTCAAACGAGTGCTTGAAATGCTAAGACCACATGTTGTTTTTTTGAACATGTACTATATGGTAACACCATTGCATTCCTTTTAAGTCTCTTGGATTGCCCATGGTAATGAATTATTACAATAGTCAAGCCCCATGGTATTACCATCTGATACTATCAATGTGCTGCAGTCATAACTTGTTTATAAAGCGGTTATAAAAGCATATTTAGACACACACGAGAACAAGTCTGTTATTTTGAAATTTGATTGATGCGTTTTACAAACCCACTTACAATTGCTGGTAATTCTGTCACTGAAGCTCTATTTCAAAAGGTCACATTTTTAAAGGGGTCATATGATGTTGCTAAAAAGAACATTATTTTGTGTATTTGGTGTAATGAAATGTGTTTATGCGGTTTAAAGTAAAAAAACCACATTATTTTCCACATACTGTACAATATTGTTTCTCCTCTATGCCCCGAGGTGTGCTGTCATTGGCCAGCTATCCAGTGGGTTGTGATTGGCCGAATACCTCAAGCGTGTGACGGAAATGTTACACCTCTTACCACACTGTGATGCCCTGTCCGGCCGGAGGGACGATTCAAAAACATTAAAACCCATTAAAAAAGAGGGATTTGTTGCATCGAGTGGGGACATAATTACGAATTATAATGACTTATACTGTCTTTTTACGCACTGCGTTGCATCGCGCCGCGTAAACGCAACAATGCTACAGCGAGAGTAAAAGTTATGCCTTCTTTCTTTGCGTGAACATTTGGGCGGCGTTATGCAAATCTTCCGACATCGTAACGTAGACGTGGGGGCGTGTTAGAATGAGCCGTTTTAGGTAGGTGTGGTTGACTCTTAACTTTTATAAAGAATATCTCTTTGGATTTGAGACTTTAGTGTTTGCAACTTTACAGATCTTCTTTATGCACCAAGAGCTTGTAACACTCCAAAGAGAAAGGAAAAATTGAAATCGCATCATATGACCCCTTTAAACCTCATAGCCACACTTCCAACTTGCAGGCTCTTCCAAAACTCTTAAGATAGCTTATTTTGCCCAAATTATAAGACGGCATCACATTTATAAATTCAGTAAAGACAAGAATGCATTGTAACAAACACAGTAAAAAAATGTTTATGCTTCTTAGAGCATTTGGTGAAACACTTTTTACTATAATCTGATGAGTAGCACCTTTACAAAGAAGAAGAAAAACCATCTTGAGAGCATGTTACTGTCAGGTTTATTGCTCTTTACTTTAATAAAGATAAAATTATTAGAGCATAGCGGGATGGGATTTTCCTTGTGGGTTTCATGTAGGCTGGAATGATCTACTGGCCTACTGGGAGCCCAAAACCAGGAATCCTTAAGCAGCCCGAGCAGTCTGTGATCTGCTTCCTCTGAGCCAGAATAAGAAGGAAGAGAGAGAAAGAAATTATGCTGCTCCTTTTCAAAAAAGAAAAGGAAAGACACAGACATTCGGAAGGAGATGTGAATAGTTGGATTTTCTGAACTCTGGTGTAGAGATGAGGTTGTAGACAGGGTGTAGGATGCAGCATAAAGAGAATACCTGATTTTATCAAGTGCTGGGAGCTCTCTGCAGCTGTACTTTAATGACCCGACCTGGGGATACAGCGTGTGCACCTCGTGCTTTGTGTCTGACACTCATGAAAACAGCTTGACTGGAGGGCTTAAGTCCTCAAAAACCTATAGTGGGTTTTTTGACAGCTGCTTCAATGTGTGTGTGTGTGTGTGTGTGTGCGTGTGTGTGTGAATGTGTCATGCAGAGAAATGCATTCTGCATAATAATGACACAAGCACAATAATGTATGTGTGTGAGAAAGAGCTGCACACTTCTGAGCCAATGACCGCTAATGTCCCCAAGTGCATATTACACACACACACACACACACATACACACAGCCACACAGACCCAGTCAATCCCCTGCTATTCCGATTTGCACATAAACCTTATACTATATTGCTTGGCAGAGAGACATAAAGAGCAATATATAATGGATAAAGAGATAAACTGGGCTTGGGGGAAAAGAAGGAAATTGAGGGAAAAGAGAAGGGAAGAGAGATGGAGCGAGTGAGCCGTGTCCGCTTTACATTCCTCACCATGACAATAATGCAGAGAGATGAGAAAATTAAAAATTGATGTGAGTAAATAGTTTTAAACGTCCCACTGCTGTACAGAAAAGCTCCCGCTGGATATCACCCAAACTGAGCAATGACTTGAAATTCAGAGAGAGCGACAGACAGCAAGAAGGTGAGTAGAGAGGAAACGTGAGACTTCTGAAAGTGAAACCAAAGAACTTCAGTGGTGGAAGGAGTGATTGAAGGAAAATATGAACAAAACTGAGAGTGATATACAGGCAGGGCGAGAGGAGAGGAAATGAGGGAGTTCAACAAGGAATTTTGGTGGGCTGAAATAGAAAAGTGAGAAAGATCTGCTATAACAAAAATGCAGTACAGCACAGATGCAAAGTGCACACTTCAGCAGACCGAGAGAGAAATTAGAAAATTTAACGAAAGAGTCAAAGAGAGATACTATTAAGCAAGTGTCTAATGTCTGTGTTTGTGAGTCCCAAATTCAGTCTCGTTTTGACTGCGTAGTCCGTTTAAACATCCTGTCGATGTGAAATGTGACACTCGTTCCTTCTTTATCTGTATGTGGGGATTACCATTCTGTCCAGATAGACACCATTCACTGTCAGTGTGACGCTGTTTTGATTTATCATGGCTCATCTGAAACTGGAATGCCATATGGTGCGATATGACTGTCATGTCACGGATTCAGCATGGCGTTTTTTGCATTGATGAATGCATGAGTGGTAAGTTCATCTGAGCTCTTTCTGACTTCTCATGGGCTTAAAAACCTGGACTCCAAAATAGTTTTTTTTATATCTCATCTAAGCTTTAAAAAAAAGCTCACATAAAAAGTGGCAGGAACAGCTATTGTGTATGTATAGTATGTATAAAAAAAACTAATTGAAGTTTAAGTCATGTCCGCATGCATACTTTGTAATTTCGAACAATGAAATTGCCATTTCTGCAACAGAACTGACAGGCATAACAATTATTGATTTCAACCATACACAGAAAGCAATTATAGACATAAACACAATCATGGAGCATCTGAATAAACAGACATAAACAACTCAAACAAAACAAACCCTTTTTACTTTGTTCAGAATCCTCCAACCCTCAAATCAGTTGAAGCTTATGTAATAGCAATTATTCAACCAAGTGTCACAGTTCAACAAAGTGCAGACTTGAAACCGAATGGATGCCACTTGTCGTACACTGTCTCATGTGAGTAATCCTTCCATGTGTTTGTGATATATGGAGCTCATATGTCATCCAAGGTATATACTGTAAATAGTTCTCCTGTCAGAGTTCTGTTGACACATCACGCACTGGATGGCCTATGCTTCATGAAAAGATTGTTAATGATGTTATTTTAGTTGCCAGACATGAATCCAGAGCAAACATGAATCCAGCCATTATGCACAACCAACGCAACACAGATGACACGCCACACTAAAGCCGTGGTTGTCTATTGCTCAATGTGTTGTCAGTGACTCACGATATTTTCTGGGAAATTGCCCAACCTTACCTGAAGCCTTTTAGCGCACTGCCTTCATTCAAAACAAGCACTTGACAGATCATATTGATTGTGGGTTTAAGCTACTTAGTTACTCACAGGCCTCGGAGACAAAGAGCAAAATAATGAAAACGTACGTGAATGAATGGGCTCCAGTGCAAGAATATTTAACAACTACAAACCAATATGTTCTAGATGTTATATTTTATTAAAACCTCTGTTCCTTATCAGCGAAAAAGCAATTCCTCACAGACTTCATGCAAGAATTGTGTGATAGCATTTCAAATATCACAGTGTTGAGTCAATTCGTAGAATCATACACTGTTCATCTCGAGCACCCACTTGCTATTCCTTCACTGAGCTTTTGTGTGAACACCACTGGAGACACCGACAGAAGACTAGTTTCTTGATCTTTCTCGAGAGTAGAGTAAGACTTGCCTGTATTGCCTCAAGTCATGGTGGACCCATGTCTGGATTGACAACCTCTGCATCCTGCTATGGTTCTGGATAAGGAATTCACATTTCTTGTTAGTCAGTTTAATCTCTATCCATTGAAACCCTATTACCTTCAGTATAGGAATGAATGTTCCTCCGTGATGGTTAATTATGTACTTTATGATAAATGCATGTGAGTAATTGTTGCCTCCTCCTTTTTATATGTGACCTTTGAAACATAATTCGTAAGGGAGCTGCCTCTTGCTCCTTGTAAGGACTTGCTCTCTCTATTTCTTCAAGTAGGTGTGATTCTCTGTGACCTAGACGTATGATTCATGGAACTATGTAATTTAATGTCATATTATTGAGTTTGAAAGTGTGAATTATCTGTCCTGCTTCTTCCCACCACAGACACAAGGCCTCGTAGGTCAAGCAGAGCAGAGCGAATGGCATTCAGACACCACCAGCTCCAGAGTGTCCCTGACTCCCTCCAGACAGAGAAGTCCGGTTCAGTTTGGCCAGGCTGTGCCTCCTTCCTCTGACCATCCCACTTCAGCTGCAGCATCCTTTTTCATCAGGTAAGAAAACACGTTTAACATAGATCACTTAATAGACTCTCAAACATGGTTACTCAAGCATGGTTACTATCTAGATACCTCTGGGTCTTTACCTTGAGAACTGAATGTCAAGGTTACAGATTTTGGACTTTTGGTATAATGTGGTATACTAATATAGGATGGCATGGCAAAGTAGCTATAGACTGTCAACCAGAGGGGTTGTTTTCTTGAGCAAGGCACCTAACCCTGTGTTGCTCCAGATTGTCCCTGTAGTAAGTGTACTTAGAGTTGCATGTCTACTAGATCACTGCTTCAATTAAATTATGGAATGATTTTAGGAACATACATTCTTGTGTTTTATCAGTCGATATATTAGTTTCTCATTTCCACTTGTATGTGGAAAAGGGTGGTGACAGGAATGCTTTTGGAATGGTCCTGGAAAACACATTTGACACATTTCTCAAGCCAAGTGACAACATGAGACATTAAAGAGTGATCAGGGGCCTCTCCCTTTGTGGAGAATGACAGCAGCCAAGTTTTTAGATGCTTGGGATGTTGCCACCTGCCCAAGCACTTCCGGGTCATTCTGAGACAACAGACAGATGTGACCCCATGTAGGACAAGGTTAATGTTTGCAGTCTGATGTATAATTGCACGTCTGTTTTCTTTGGAGTTGATCTCAAAAGAAGCGGATACGCAGGGAGACTGCTATGTCACAGAAACATAATGACGAGGAAGAGAGAGAAAATAGATTTGTTTTTCCCTCTTAATTTAAACTCCTGGGTGGATGAACAGAAGAAGTAGGAAGTTATGTTGGGTACCACCTCTTGTTTCATCCCAAATACTAGTGCCTACCAGGAATTTTATTGTTATGGTTAGGAATGAGGTCAGTTTTTATTTTGGACACCCTGGCATTCTTTGAATGCTGAATATGGGACATACTTGATTGTTTGTTACTAACAGCCACTAATTTGTGTAACTAGCATTAAATTAGTAACCAAAGGCTGAGAAATTGAAGAACTGCACTATCAGAGATTGCATACGCCAGGGACAATCCACTCATACATGTATGAGTGATAGAAATGCTCAATATGGTGCCTGTTGTGTGATTTTTCTTAAAAAGACTTTGACTAGCTGCTTTCTGGACATAAATATGCATTAGTGTTAGTTTGTGCACAAGTGACACATGATGGATTAACAGTAAACTGCTTATTTAAGGTGTGAAACTGGTATAAAATATTAATTGCTGTTTAATTAAAATCAAGACTAATAACTTGCTCCACCTAGCAGTTCACTAAGACCTCCAGATACCTTTCCACAGATGTTTGACTTGATCAGAGTATGCAGAATAAGAAATGCCAGTGCAACACCTTGCTTTCAGGCGTGCCAAAAAATTAATGAAGAGCATCCTATAAAGGAGTCATTATCAAACTTCTAAATTTAAATCAAGGGCTGGTAGTGAACATCCAGACCTGCAGTTATTCTTATTGTACAACAAGCAGGAGGCTGGACAGAAGACTAGTTTCTTGATCTGTCTACTTTCTCGAGAGTAGAGTAAGACTTGCCTGTATTGCCTCAAGTCATGGTGGACCCATGTCTGGATTGACAACCTCTGCATCCTGCTATGGTTCTGGATAAGGAATTCACATTTCTTGTTAGTCAGTTTAATCTCTATCCATTGAAACCCTATTACCTTCAGTATAGGAATGAATGTTCCTCCGTGATGGTTAATTATGTACTTTATGATAAATGCATGTGAGTAATTGTTGCCTCCTCCTTTTTATATGTGACCTTTGAAACATAATTCGTAAGGGAGCTGCCTCTTGCTCCTTGTAAGGACTTGCTCTCTCTATTTCTTCAAGTAGGTGTGATTCTCTGTGACCTAGACGTATGATTCATGGAACTATGTAATTTAATGTCATATTATTGAGTTTGAAAGTGTGAATTATCTGTCCTGCTTCTTCCCACCACAGACACAAGGCCTCGTAGGTCAAGCAGAGCAGAGCGAATGGCATTCAGACACCACCAGCTCCAGAGTGTCCCTGACTCCCTCCAGACAGAGAAGTCCGGTTCAGTTTGGCCAGGCTGTGCCTCCTTCCTCTGACCATCCCACTTCAGCTGCAGCATCCTTTTTCATCAGGTAAGAAAACACGTTTAACATAGATCACTTAATAGACTCTCAAACATGGTTACTCAAGCATGGTTACTATCTAGATACCTCTGGGTCTTTACCTTGAGAACTGAATGTCAAGGTTACAGATTTTGGACTTTTGGTATAATGTGGTATACTAATATAGGATGGCATGGCAAAGTAGCTATAGACTGTCAACCAGAGGGGTTGTTTTCTTGAGCAAGGCACCTAACCCTGTGTTGCTCCAGATTGTCCCTGTAGTAAGTGTACTTAGAGTTGCATGTCTACTAGATCACTGCTTCAATTAAATTATGGAATGATTTTAGGAACATACATTCTTGTGTTTTATCAGTCGATATATTAGTTTCTCATTTCCACTTGTATGTGGAAAAGGGTGGTGACAGGAATGCTTTTGGAATGGTCCTGGAAAACACATTTGACACATTTCTCAAGCCAAGTGACAACATGAGACATTAAAGAGTGATCAGGGGCCTCTCCCTTTGTGGAGAATGACAGCAGCCAAGTTTTTAGATGCTTGGGATGTTGCCACCTGCCCAAGCACTTCCGGGTCATTCTGAGACAACAGACAGATGTGACCCCATGTAGGACAAGGTTAATTTTTGTGGTCTGATTTATAATTGCGCGTCTGTTTTCTTTGGAGGTGATCTCAAAAAAAGCGGATAAGCAGGGAGGCTGCTATGTCATAGAAAACGAATGTCGAGGAAGAGAGAGAAAAAATAGATTTGTTTTCATCTCTTAATTTAAACTTCTGGGCGGATAAACAGAAGAAGTAGGAAGTTATGCTGGGTGCCACCGATTGTTTCATCCCAAATACTAGTGCCTGCCAGGAATTTTATTTTGATGATTTGAAATGAGATCTGTTATCCTTCTGGACACCCTAGCATTCTTGGAATACTGGTTCAAAGTCTAGGACATGTGTGACTGTTTGTTACTAACAGCCACTAATTTGTGTAGCTGTCATTAAATTAGCAACCAAATGCTGAGAAATTTAAGATTTTCAGAGATTGCAAATTGTAGGTAAAATTCCACTTATACATGTATGAGTGATAGAAATTCTCAGTATGGCACCTGTTGTGTGATTTTCCTTAAAGAGACTGACTAGATGCAGTCAAGATATGAGTTTGCATTAGTGTTAGTTTTGCACAAGTCATACATGTAGGATTAACGATAAACTGCATGTTTAAACTGTAAAACAGGTATAAAATATTCATTGCTGTTTAATTAAAATCAAGGCCATAAAACTCTACGAACATATCTTGTTCCACCTAGCAATTCATTTAAGACCTCCAGACACCTTTTCCCTCACAGATGTTTGACTTGATCAGAGTGTGCAGAATAAGAAATGCCAGTGCAACACCTTGCTATCAGGCATGTCAAAAAAATCAATGAAGGGCATCCTCTAAAGGAGTCATTATCAAACTTCTACATTTAAATCAAGAGCTGGTAGTGAACATCCAGACCTGCAGTTATTCCGCTAGTGTGCATTGGGCTTTTAACCAGCTTGTAGAACAAGCAGGAGGCTGGATCCTCTCTTGTAAGTGAAATGTTAATTAGATTGCAATTAGAGTTGCACATTGGAGGGGAGAGTGACGAGGGACAAGGTCAATCTGTTTCCAGTCATCCTTTTAGTGTTTTTAAAGGGGTTCCTATTATGCTTTTTCACTTTTTAAATTTTAGTCAGTGTGTAGTGTGTATGTTTGGGCCTATAAAAGTTTGGGCATTACAAATCTCAAAGTCCACTCCAAGGGAGATATTTCGTTTTTAAAAAATCCCTTTTCTAGAACTACAACGAACGGCTCATTTGGACTACAGCGTTGGTTTCCGGGCTTTGTGATATCACAAAGCGGCCCATTAGAATATCATTAAAATAATTCCCGCCTACAGAAATTCAAATGGTTGGGACGTGGGGAGGGGCGAGGTTGTGGTTAGAACACTTG